CGCCCAAGAGAGATCAATGGAATTCCCAAACAAATTGGATTTGAACATGGATCTTCACATGGATTGCTCGACGATGAAAACACGAATCTAATGCATACAGTACGAACACATTTTCCTGAAGAACCCATCGAAGTTGTAAAATTAAAAACTGGTGATAGTTACTTCGAACTTTTCCAGTTAATACAGAAGCCTTCTTAATTCCACACAATCTACAGATGCCTAGTTCAAAACGCGTTGATCACTCCAAGAGTGGTAATCAGTATGTACACACACCGGAAATCAGAAATCGCCACCGAATCAGGAAACCTCAGTGGTAGTCACCTGTCAAAGTATATCAGCAATGAGTCGTAGAAGGAAGAGCCATAGAAATAGTGGTTCATTTATCAAACTTAGTCAATTTGGGCGAATATCATGTAAGAAGAAATATCATTGGCTGATCAGACACTAACCAATCGGTGCTGGTACTCTCTTTGTCACACATATCCCGTTCGAACCACATGCCCTTTGATTGGTCGAGATTGTTGACCTCTGATTCCATGTACTGAAATAGTAACACGAAGCTACCGCCACATGAGCTCTTTATGTTTCAATGGATAAATTCAAGTCAAATCATTCAAATCACTAGTAGGTTCATACACTCCGACGGATAAATGTTCAGCGTTTTACACCAAGTTTATGAATGCGAATTTACAATTCGCGCAAAGGGAAAATAAAATTATTAGATATCGTCTTTGTCAGTGATCAAGAAATTACGCAATCCTGTGGAAACTTCCTCCTCATCAACAACAGACGTGCGAGATATGGAAGGACAAAGGTAGACATTGCCGCTGGTATAGTCCAGGAAAAGTAGATGTGAAGAGGTAGTTATGAATGAAAGTTTCAAACTTACCTGTGAATGACGTATTTATGGTGTTTGAAAGTTCGTTGGGTAAATGACTTTCGATGACAAAGTCTGAGAGTGTCCTTGGCGATGCTATTGCATCTGGAGATGTAATTTAGGAATCTTGTAAGTGTCTGAAAGTCTTGGATTCAAGAATATGTTCATTTTGGCATCAAAATATACGTTCATTTGCTAGCATTTACAGACCATATAGGGAAATAACATGTTCATAGGGGATAGACAATCAGTTGCTCAAAGGTTACAGTGTTGCGTGTGGCGAGAGAGAGGGAGATGGATGGGTGAGTGATGCGACGTGTTTCGCATCAAGCCTTAACACTGCAACCGGTTGTGACACGACATCCGTACGATCGATCTTCGGATATGGTAGCTGAATGACACGGGTTACTTTCATAGATTGGGTGTGAACAAACGAATACTGATCGCTTCCGCTGTAGCACTCGATAGATAGCATTGGAGGTTGATTCAGGCTTCACTTGGTGACCTGAGTCTGCTAGGGGAGCGAGAATAGCGCTTTCCGTGACCCTTTCCATCGTGTTGAAACCAGTGTGGACAGTGTTCTTTATTCCGCTGCCTTGCCGTTTGGTCGAACTAGGTGTATTTCATAAAGAAAAACAAACCCATTCCTGGCTTTTTTTCTGGTGAAGTTAATTTATTTTGAAAATTTGATACATGTATTATCTCAAACGCACCAGGAGCCTATAATATCCATGAGACAATAGGGAAACTGGGTGGGTGCTGACATTTAAGCCCCGTGTGTCAAGTATGTTTCGTGCTATTTTCAGAGTGTCCTCCGTGGAGTGAACAACCTTGGCCGGTCCCGACCATATGCGCTCTAGGCATGGAGGTTTGTATTCTCAGGTGTCCTGTAAATGGCAAAACGATCCTTCAAGTCTAGTCAACAGATTCATTTAAACGTGTATGAATACATAACAACACGTTTTCAATTTAATCTCTGCGTTTATTTACCTTTCAGAATTTCAGTATCGTTTTATGTTTCGGTGATCTATTCAACCGACATGCAGGACTTCTTTATTCCCAAGCCGTTTGAATGAAGTAAAATGCATATTAGTTTATCCGGTCATGCCAGCTTTGTCTGAGTGGGCGCGCAGTTATTCGGGTACACTGCGTCCGCACTTTTGTAATCGAACAATGCGCCAATTGTTGGAAACCTACTACGAAGGACCTTTTGATTTTTGAGCATCTAAAGTTAGACATTCACAAACATGCAGTGAAATGTAGCTGGTACTTGATATCTATAATCCTTTGACTCTAACGAACAAGATGTATGCATGGGCCATTGGTGGGTCCACTTTGATCCTTGACATGATTTGTTCGTTGTGTAATTTACATGCCCAACTGAAAATAGACTCCTTTTGCATTAGACTATAATAAAGATGCACGAACCAATCAGCCTGAGCTGGGAAGCTGAAAATGTGCGTCCTACAACTGAACTTTGGTGCCGGTTGATTCCTTTTGAAAACTGACATTCGATTGTCAGATTTATTCGCTATTCTCTAAATGAAGTTGGATGAAATGGAGTGTGATTGTTAAGCCGATACTGCTTCACACACCGTGTATCAATAGCTCACCTGAAGTTTCGATCACGCATACAAAGGAAGCAAAGCCCGCAAGCTATCACAACAAATTACACACCATATTCCGTAGTCGTTGGTAAAGTGAAAGGCTTGGCCTAAGCCCTACAGATAGGAGATCACATGGAACCCTAGACTGGTATATGACCGGCATGTTAATATTTAAGCAATCAACATCACTGACCTTGTGCGTCCGCTTCGAGTGATTTTTGCCCATCGATGTGCAGTCTTACCAGCGTTCATTAGTTCAACTTGTTTACGTGCGAACATTTATTTCACGTGGTTGGGGAGATTGAACGAAATGTTGATATTTGGTGACATTTATTCTTCCGGCTCTGTTGCATTTGAAAAAGTAGCTTAGACTTTCAAGTTTCTAAAGCAACAATTCTGTTGTGCCACCTGGTGAGCACATGGTCGTTAGCTCTCAAGCGAGACAAAACCATGACTGAACTATTTGGTGTTCAGTTTTACAAGAATTGTGTTTGTTCTGAACGAATATCGAGTCACTTCTCGCAGGTGCTCATTAAGCAGGGCAAATATTTAAGTACACTCGACCTATTCCGAACTGCAACATATCACACCGAAGCCTCATTCACCATCAGGAATAAGTGTATTGAAGCACAGTCACAATATGTTCTAATGTTTCCTCGAGATTTGGACTTGGTGTGTCGAGTCGAGTTACAAATTTTTCAAAATTCATTTTTCAAGAACTGAATGAAGTAACACTGAACGATCCCCCGCTGGAGTACACCAAAACGATTCATCCGTGGTTTCCCACAAAATTTTTCGATGATGCATTTATATAACTTGAGATCTTCCGAATTCACAGGTGTTCCATAATGCAATTTAGCAGATAAGACGAGTGCCAAAGCTATCTCAGGAGATTCTCATTTCCAGCCGAATGAACATTTCGGATCAACGTTCAATGGTCATCACAAAGACAAACAGAAAACGAAACAGATGTGGCAAACATCGTCACACACGTTTTAGTTCTACCTGCGCTTACAAGCGCATTTCCGGCAGCATCCCTGTAAGTTTCTCATCAGGCTTGCAGCCAGCTGGTGGTTTATTCGCACTTGTGCAAGAATAACAACAATATCAAAAGGGATCACTTGTAATGTTGTAGCGTGTGTCAGGAATGCAAACGTCCCCACCCCTGTCAGAGTCACCGGTTTTCAGTAGGAATAAAACCTGGTTCCATATGCACTGACCATTCTTCATCTTCACATTTTACATCCAATAGCTCTGTTGTCGTATACAGCTTGATTCATAATCCACGGATTAGTACGATGTCATCCAAGTTGTCGATTTCTCAGTCAAATTCACCCTTTGAATGGCTCATATCTGGTGGAATGTTGAAGTGGAAAGTCGAAAACAAACAGTAAATGAAATTATTGGGAACTATATTCAGTGGTACGGAACACTAGCATCAAGGAAGATAAACTAAAACCGTTGTACACACTTAGTATTGAAACGAAACACTTGTGTTACTTTTGTGACCTTAACGTGTACATTTCACGATTCTGTCTTATGCAGAATGAACTCAGTAGTACAAAGTGATAAGTAGAATCGATGTGGAAATCTTCGATGTTGCGTACAATAAAATTACCTACCTTCGTTTCATCCATTAAGGAAGTTATTTTACTCAACTGAAGATACCACCGGTGCGCTACCATATTTGTCACCGAGCGGCTAATCCAACTGTCTGTTACACACGTGACTGTGGCTTAAATAAGTGCAGAAAATCTGAACGATCTCCCATTGGAGTACACCAAAACGATTCATCCGTGGTTCCCACAAATTGTTCAAAGATGCATTTATCTAATCTCTGATCTTCCGAATTCACGGGTTACACAAAACGGAGTCCATTCGCTGGGGATGAAGTTTCAGACTCCAACAATAAAAGCCACCCGACCCAGGTTTATTTATCACATCTCGACTTGTACAGATAATGTTCAGGAAGACGGTTGCAGAAAACTCTTAACGTATATATAAATGCTCGAAGTGAGCTGTTTTAATGGAGTTCAAACTGTGGGCCAACAGTACTCTGGGAAGATAATCTAAACCACACGATCACCGCCACTGAAGTGAACCAAATGGTTTGACTACGCCGGCAACTAAGCCTCAACCCAGCTGTTGATAATGCTAGTTGTACAAAACAAAGTTATAACTAAATTAACGCAAATACAGGTTTTCCACCTTATTATTAGACACAAGGTCCAGCTCTGTGAAGAATAAAAATGTATTCATTGGTAAATTTACCGATGTGAGAGTGAGGGAGACGTTTACACAATATTTTAGACTGCCAAACTGGTTTCTGGAAACACCCATGCCACCTCACACGTAACCTTTATTCTCACGGTTGCACAGACTTATGATTGGATCTTTCACAAAACAGATTTCGGACATTAAGAGGAAAACTGTTGATCGCCCTTCGCTCAGGTTTGTTCCGAAATGTATAAAAGCATTATTTGAACGAAGTGTGACATAAAACAAGCATAGAAATAATGAAATCGTTCTACTTAACTATCTTAAGTCTAGCACTTGCCGGATTGGCTGTGTCCATTACAGTGGATGAGAAAAATCTACTCTTGCGCTTGCACAATGCCGCCCGAACTCGAATTCTGAACTGCTCTGTTCCAGGACAACCGCCAGCAAGATCTATGCAAATGTTGGTACGTTTGTGTATCATTGCAAACCAAACTGCTTCGTTTGCGTCGTTCTTGGAGTGCTCTAACCCGCTAATATGCTTCTCCGCTGATTTCTCCCACACTCAGAAATGGCATGATGGTTTGTCGAAGAAAGCTCAACAGTGGAGCGATCGATGCATAACCGGACACGACAAAAATGACGATCGCAAGTTGCCCGAATTCTGGTGGGTTGGACAAAACTTCGCCGGCTTTCCATCAGTGGAACCGTAAGTAAATTCTGGTTGGAAACACACAGACGTTCGATATAATCTAGTTGTTTTGATAACTTACTTAATCGAACCATTTTGAGGGACTTTCCTGAATATGAACAAAGGGTAGGAACGGTGCACAAATTGACAGAGTTAAAACGAAGGTTTAGTGAGCCGTGAAAGTTTCTTCCAACGCATAACTTCTTTTCACCTGATACCATGCAAATGAACGCTTCATTGGTCTCACACAAACTATGCTTATATCTCTGTTTCACCATGGCTGACGAGGTTTAGAATCAGTGAGTATCACAACGTACACAAGTATTCGGATAAAGCAATGCTTTATTTCCATGCGTGAATTTGGACTGGATTATTGGTTTGTTGTCTTATTGTTGATCCTTGATCACTTGATACTGTTGGTTGATGCGAGCCTTCCACGCCCAAAAGTATGCATTCAATCACTCTCTATTCTAATTGCCCTTTCATTTTGACACGACTCAGTGATTGGGCAAGCTCGAAAGATCTGACCAAGAAGCGGTATTATTCGACATGACCATGGATATGACGATTTGAGCCGGGGAATGATGTTCCTTACAACATGTGAAGAATAAACAACTGAGCAGTGTTGTGTCTCCGTCTGATGCTTAACTTGATAGGTTGTATGAAGATCTCAGTCTAATCCTGTCGTTTGTATACCATTTATAGTATGCGTTTGTGAACCCACAGTGAACGGGAAAATAAATGAAATTTACTGCTTGTCGTACGTACATTTGTGACATTTCAGTGGATTCAACGCTTGGTTTGATGAATACAAACAGTACAACTTCATGGCCAACACATGCAGCGGGGTTTGTGGTCACTATACTCAGGTAAGTCATGATCAACGCATGACAGTGAAGCACAATGTGTTTTCAACCCCACATTCGGTTTGGATTGCCTACATGTAATGGACAATTTTCTTTCCAATCAGCTTGTCTGGGCAGACACGGAATACGTTGGTTGCGGAGTGACCAAATGCACAAAACCGTCATTTCCCTATGGCTATTCGATTGTGTGCAATTACGGTCTGGGGTGAGTTCCCGTCGAAAGATACGTAGACAATTGTACATACGCATCTCACAACGTGACTGGATCTCTGGTCTGTTCGGTGTGACTGAACTCTTCACTATTACATTTGTTTTCAGTGGCAATATGAATGGAGCGCGTCCTTACACAGCCGGTACTCTAGGCGATTGTCGAAAAACGAGTAAGTCGTTACTCTACTTTTACTGAAAAACACGTATTGTACTTACCTGTCGTCGTCCTATTCCACAGATCTAACCATTCACTTGTCTGTCCTGGTCACAGGTACAACATCCGCGACACCTAGGAGTTGCCAATAATTGGACTGAAACAAATTACTGTAATGACATGAGTGCATTCAATAAAACACATTCATTGCACTGCTAAGTGGTTGTTTTCTAATTTCATACATGTAAATGTTTGTTCCATTGGAGATACTCGTTTCGTTCTCAGTCACTCAACATTACTGGACATTATGCAGCGTGACACTTAATATTGATGCTTCTAGGCGTAACGTGGCCACGTCACGTGGTGGTCAGCGAATTCCCTGTAACGTAAATCA